TATAACGTTATATTGATAGAAATATTAAAACAGGCACTAAAACAATATGTTGTTACTCAGAGCTTCACGCTATTCGATCTTAACTGAAAATATTTAATCATTGTAACATTGGTAGAAAGTACTTTGTTTTCTTCAATCCAACTGGCAACACAAAACAAATGATATAGAAGTGTCTACCACACAAATAATTTACTTATTTCAATATATTCCTTTTTAAACCCTTTCACAATATCAGAAACAATTCATTCCAATACCTTATCTAGGTTCGAATCTTCTACCGATTCATTTGTTCTCATCCAATGTAAACATAGAATTACGAATCGATTAAATAAATTACGTCTATAAACAAGAATCCATTTTAAAACTGACCACCGAATCCTGAATTAACTCTCAGAAAGTCAAACTTCTACAAATTCATTTAAAATTCGAAATTAAATATTCCAAATTCGGAAAATATCGATATAATTATGATAACGGTTTGGCTAAATTAAAAATCACACAAATTTTTAGAAATCTCTATAATATCCCGAAAAATTGTTCACACGAAATTGTTCTACCGAGCACGATCCAGTAAGGCGGTAGTTATGAGATGATAATGGCCCGATTGAACTATTGAATGATAGCAATGACGTATATTAGTATATTTTGTTTATTTGTCAATATTTCTGTCATTACAATGATATCAATCCATCCATCAATTTATCAATCCTCATTATTACTGTGATCTATCATTTTCCGTTCTTAGATCTTAAAACTCGGGTTTATATAGAGAATGAATAGACCAAAGGAATGAAAATTCGAAATTATAGTTTGTAATTTTTAAAATTTGATCAAAATACTAAAACAATTCGATAATAATTTTAAGCTCAAAATAAACAAAAACATGTTCCTTTTTAGACCTTCGTGAAAATTATCCATTCATGAATTTTCAGTAGCTGTTGTGATTAAAAGCCCATGTTCGTTCCTCGGAAATGACATGATTCATTTTGGATCTCATTATTTAAATTCTTGAAAGGTGAACAAAAGATATTAGTAGGTTAAGGTATTCAAGATATGATAAAAAGAAGTAGTGTAGATGGCCGACTATACAGCTATAGTAGGCTAAAACTTTCATATATCACTAATAAATAACCATTTTTTAGTGTTCTGTCCTTTTGCTAGATACAGATTTTGTGATACTATAATTTCGGACAAAGGTTATTTCATTATGAATGAGCTTCAATAAATATCCAAACAGCATAATTCCATGATTAATCTTTTCACTTTAAAACGCTCGAGACTCTTTTGATTTTTTTTTTAAATTGAAAGCTAGTTATTGTTGAAACGTGGTGTATATAAATTTACAAGGTGAATTCTTATTTTCACTTTGTAAAAGTTGATGTATTATTTGCTTTGATTATAAGCTATGTTTGTATAATCCGGCACCGAGAATCGTTTCATGTCTATTCTAAGATAGAAAATGTCCACAGGTTGTCCTATACCGGATGGGTCAGAAAAAACACTTTTCATTCAGGATTTTTCATAAGTATCATAGCTATGATAATAATATTTTGACCTCATCTTCTAAGGGATATTAGACATCTTTTCACCAAAGTACAGTTTTTTAGGTTGAATAAATTTGGAATACCAGCTATTTTTATATTCCTGGTAAAATAATATAATGCCGAAAGTAATTACTCTAATTTCACATCTTTAATTGAAAAAATGTTCAATAAAGCCAGCATTTCAGCAAAAATCGCCTGAATTCCTTCTTTCGTGACATGACAAAATATTGCCCGTCTGGTTTGCTTAAGTAGTATTTTTGGCCCATTTTTCTATAATTCTGTCCTTCAGTTCCTTCAGCCTATCTCCATTGTTAATTCTCTCAGCTACAGATTGTAATCAGGAGTTTTGGAGTCGCCATTCATCTTTTGTATGAAATGCTCCAAATTTCAACATTCAGAAGGCAATTTTTGCACGGAAAAAGCTTTTTAGGGTTTGTCATTAGGCATTAGTTAAATGAAAGGGAAGAAATAATTTATTTACTTTCGGTATTATATTTTATGACCAAGGAATTTTAAAAAGGCTGGTATTTAAACATGGTTTGACATAAAAAAAACTGTAATTTCTTGAAAAGATGTCGAATATATTACATATATAAATATGTGGTCTAAATATTATGATCTGGATCAACTGATATATGCAAATACATAATTAACATGGCGTTAAAGGCAGATTTGCATAAGACTAAATACTGCATGATCTCAGACAATAAATGTCGACGTTAACCCTAATTGCCGAGGGGATTTATTGTTTCACACGAAAAGCATTGACTTAACAATACCGACTGACAACTACAAGTCCTGTCACTGTCATGTCAGATAAACGATCAATATGTCGCCCTCGGAGCTTGTACTGTTATGACACCATGGCCTTGCAGCATGCCCTTATTACCAGAACTAGGCATGCCTGTAACCATGTTCTGACGTTTTGTTCATGCCCTTATATTTAAAAGATATTCTCTTTTGAAACTATGCAATAACCCGAGAGACCATCCTTTTAAACGCCGTGGCCGTAGAGCATGCCCACTGTCACATCATGCGCTTTGGACATTTTGCTTCTGCTTTGGACATTTTGCTTTAAGATATCGCGTTGACTATTCTCATCCTTTGGGATCTGCAATGTTGTGGTTTCATGATAATGGTGTGAAACGCCCATCGTACACAATTAGGTAATGTACGTGTATATACAGTCAAAGTTGTACTAAGCAAGCCGTCAGGGGAATGTTCAGAATGGGTTGCTTACTGAGCCAGGTAGTGTCGGGTTTATCATAGGTATGATGCATGCAATGAATGTAGAATGATAAGTTGATAGTGTGTAAATATAGATATACGTGTTGTAGGAATAAATGCTACGTTCAATACAAATTCTAAACTCATATCAATATTGATGATTATATTACATTCTAATACTTCACTGCTGTCCACTATATTATACATTGAATACACAGTGATATGATGAATTACTGCCCTTGGCGATATATAATATAACAACGCCTTTAGGTGGGAAACAATGATTGTTTTAATTCAACACGACTGTATCGATTGTTATATATTATTATATTGTTAGTTAATTCCAAGTGTCATGATACAGATAACTTGACGTCTAACATTCTGGTGGATATTCATTTAATAATAATAATAATAATAAGTTTCTTAATACTTTCAAATATATGGTAAAAACAATACATACAATATATACAATATATACAATATATACAATATATACAATTTATACAATATATACAATTTATACAATATATACAAATGTTTTGCAATAATAATTAATTAAGTTCATGATTAAAGATAATAATTTTATGATAAAAATGATAATTTCCTGATTAATTCGAATATTCCTATAATATAATATATTTCTTATGAAACATTTGGTTTAAAATAAAAACTGATAAATAAATAAAATAGAAATTAGTAAAATAGAAGAAAAAGACCAAACCACCAAAGAGCAAAAATATCTGCCCCAAAATAACTGTAAAGACTTCTGCTAATATGATTTTTAAATCAAATTTGGCGTTCAGAAATATATTTTATGTCAGGCTTTTTGACAAAATACCATGCTAAACGCTGTTCCAATGCACTGAAAGAACACAAAGCTAACATTTTTAGAAAGAAGATATTAAAATAGTAAATATGAATAAAGGCGTAGTAATGTCAGAGACTACTCTCTGGTAATGTTAGTAAACACAAGTAAGACTAACATTTCCATACCTCAAGGGAAGTAACTGGTATTAAATTTGAAAGTATGTTTATTGGGAAACGATTTATTACATGAAATTCTCGAGCTTGATCCATTCCACTAATAAAGAGCGTTAGTTTATATACAGATTTTTGAATATAATATATACATGTAATATGAATTGCTAATTTTTGGTCATCGACATCTACACTAAAGGACCGGTTTGATTGATTATTAATTAAAATATTATTACGATATATTCATCATTTAATTATGTTAATGAACTCATTAATTAGGATATCACGTAATAGATGTTTAATTAATATAGTCATCAAATTTTAATGTATAAAAGTTACGTTTGTAGTCGTTCCAGTGAGCCGACAGTCTCTTTACGTGACATTATTTAAAAACAATGGTCAATATATAAACCAAGTACTAATAACCCAAACTGCAAAACGAAACCCGAAATCTAAACAAAATATTGGCGAAACATTGTAATCGAAGTGGCTATATTAAAAAAATAAAAGCTAATAATTAATAGAAACGAAAGTTTGGATTTATTTTGATTAGACTGGGGCAGATTGACTTATTTCGGGGACAACTGTCGAAGGTTGAAATTCTAAATGCGTCAATCTTGCGGACCGCGCGTTGAAAATTAGCAAGCATAGAATTGATTTGAAGCATACTGACACATGATTTTAGATTTGTTAGAAATCTCCCTCCCTCCCTCTTTTTCCCCCTGAAACACCCTCTTGCACCACCACTGCCTATTATGTGTTATTTTGAATATGTAATTCACCCAATTGCAACGTGCACCAGTCAATACAATTGAATTGACCTTACATACACACATACTAACGCAATTGTCTCCAATATATACAGGTACTTGACAATTAAAGTAGAAGTCTATTATATTATTGGTGTTCATATCAGAAAACCACACTATTCAACCAATCAGAATATATTAACTTATGTATGTAATATGGGAAAGTCTCGACGACCAAATTAATTTTTTGTCTTTTTTTTTCTTCTTGAATATATTAGTTGATATACTCCGATTTTAAACCAGATTCAGTATAGCTTACGTTCTTGCAATTCTGATTGGTCCATTATTATGTTATCCAATCAGACACCTTGAATTTAAGTTTTATTTTATTCCGGATTTCGCTCGTTTCAATCAATCTTCACAGTGACCTAGAATAATATTGTCACGGAACTAAATTTGGTATATAAATTATTTAGGATCAAAATAACGTATTTAGAGTTATATTTTCACCGAGTATAGTTGTCAATAACCATTGCTTACCATGTATTTAGTATGTTTCTACGCTTCTTTGGTGCTTCTTACGACAGCTAATGGTAAGCGGATTCATTCAGCTTTCGTGTTTTTTCTATTTCGTGCGTGGATGCTTGTTTGCTTGTGTTTTAGTTTGTTATTTATTGTAGTGTTTGATATAGTTAACCTGTATAAACTATCAAGTGTTTCCGGGCGTTCGACAAATGATTTAAGTTTTAAGACATGGCATGGTGGTTAGAAGCAAGAACATTCAAATCAACCCTTCTATGGAAGAGCCTCTTTCCGGCAAGGGGTGTAACAATTCAGCCGATGACCAGTGAGGTAGACTTAGTATTTGAATAGACGTTGATGATAGGGGGTCCCTCTTACCATGGACAAGGGTATTACTAAAAATAAACATCTTGTTTCAGCAGTGACTAAACGTTGGGTATAGAATGTGTTCGTTTTAACTTGTTCCTTCTTTACAGCTCTATCTCTTCGACCATTTCGACACTTTCCATTGGATTGTGGACCAGTTTGTATGATAGCCTGTCCTTTTGGTAAAGAAGTCGACAGTCGGGGATGTCCAACATGCCGATGTCGACGTAAGTAACTTTTATCTTTGTTTTGGAGGAGAAAGGAATTGGCATAGCCAACCTCTGTTATAGAATGTGGAAGAATTTGTATGACATTATAAACAGACCTTAGGTGATTCCCTAACTGCCATAAGCATCTGATGTCATTCTGCAACTAATTTTACCAACTCAGCAGAGAACAATTAGCTAGCAATGTCCATGTCGTACATTGGATAACATCGACTCCAAATGATTCAGTCTGATAATCAGTTTTGATGAAGAGGAATCGTACTTTTCCAGAAAGCAACATAGTATGCTTCATTAACAGTTAAACTGTTATGTTCTATATTTCATTTACATAAGCTGTTATACATAGAATCTGAAACAAGTAGATAACATTAACACACTTAAATATATGTTACCTTTTACACTTATTTATATTCGATTATTGGACGGCTAATACTTATATCAATCCAAACAAGAGGTATCCTAATGATTGGCGAAAATACCAGTTTATCTCACAAGTTCTTAATTAATTAGCTCATTAGGAATTTACCTTGATTTTACTCTAAACAATGCGAGGACCCATCTTTAAATGTTATAGATTAAAACTCGTTTATTCTTTTCACTGGCAAGTTGGTTTCTTTCAGAGCCCGACACATTTCCAGTGAATCCAGATAGATGTGGACCAGTCTGTATGATTCGTTGTGAGTATGGACAGATAAGAGATTATAGGGGATGTCCAACCTGTCAATGTAGAGGTAAGGGCCGCGTTTTCTCGGCAATGATTGCGTTAACTTATTGTCTTAAGAGTCCAACTGGACTGACTGGAAGGAAACTGGATACTACCCATATTATTTACCCTGTTAACACGGCAGTCATTTAAGAGGGTCCACATTTCGTCGTTGAATTATCAGTCTGGAAGCAAATGTCTATATTTAATTTTAAATGACCCGGGGGCCCTTTTTTCTTATTTTTTCTATTTTTTTGGGAGGGGACCTTTTGAGGGTCTTTTTGACTACAGTTTAGGTCCGTTTTGAACAAAATGTCGATGGACTACACCATAATGCTCCCAGAATATAGAGCTGTAATTAGTATCCTAAGCATACTTTTTCGATATAGATCATATATATCACCAGATCCTTCAGGATGTCAAATTGGCATCCTTTCTTTTAGAGTCTGTATTTTGCAAGTAATATAATACCTATGCTTGCGATGTTCAAACACATAACACTGGCCTCTCTCTAGAAGTGTGACGGTACATACCTATATTGTATATTTAGAAGGTCCTGCAGACTGCCCTTACAGACGAAGATGTGGTGTAAGATGTCCAATGGGACTTTATGCTCGAGATGCTTTTGGCTGCCAGACTTGTAATTGTTTGATGCCTTCACCCATTCAATGTAAGTCAAACACTTTGATAATATGTTTTCTATATAAGGAAATCAAGTAATTACTGACTCGATATACTCCTCCGAAAATGTGAATAAGAGTGATGTGAATAAACGTAAAGCGTTACCTCCCTTGAACTAAGTTTTGATTTTAATTTATCATAAATAATTATAATCTTTCTTTTGTGTTTTCAAATGAACTGTTTATTTAATTTGATTGATTGTACACCCTCCTGTAGTCTTGAAGCTTTTCTTGATATACGAGACATTTTTTGTATATAATTTTGACTTTACTCGGAACTATTGCAAATTAGATTTTTTTCTAAATGGGTTGCCAAAATAAAGTTATAAATATTATCTCCCTTGATCCGTGCTGCTGATATTGTTGAATTCGATTGATTCGATACTGTGTTTAATGTCATAAAATATCGCTTAGCAAAACACATATCCGAGCATCTTTTAGTTTTACTACTAATTTCATTATTTATTTGCAGTTGCTTAAGTCAGGACCAACAAAACAGGCAATCAATGTATTTGAATTATTCTTATTAAAACGTTTAATATAATACCAGAAACAATTACCCAGATACAGTGAAAAACATGCCTTTGGAGCTGCGAGAGGGTGGCTCCGCCACTGCCCAGATATGACGTAGCTCCATCCAAGGCAATTAACACCATAACAAATCATGAGACTTATCTGACGTTGCATGCCCTGTAACTCTTTCTGAAAGCACGTGGAAAAAAGAGTGATACGAAAAGGAAATGTTAGCGTTCCGAATACACATATTATAAGATCGCTTTCTCGTGTATGGAGGCTGAGTATTCAGATTGGGGACTACACAAATCTGGGAACAGATGCTGGAGTACAGTCCCGTAGCCAGACTTGATTGATTGGGGACTACTACATCCGTAGCCAGGCTATACCCCCTTGCTCCCCAGTAGCTGTGCCTCTCGGAGTATACACAGGAAATGATTAGACGAGTATTAATCGTCTACCTCTATGTACATTTGGAGAAATATTGGTTCAAGACACGTGTAAATAATTACGAATTTATTTGTTTTCAGAATGAGTAAAGAACAATGAAAAATAAATAATGATCTATATATACAGTATTCACAAGTAGAAACCCAGACACAAGCATCAAATTCTGTCATCTTCACAATGTCAAGCTATAACTTCGTAATTACATAAATACAAAACTCGAAATAGCCTGTCATTGTGGAGATGTATCGGGATCAGGCAAAAATTTGAAAGACATTCAAATCAAGATTTTAACTGTGCGGGTTATCTGCATGCAGAAAGAACACAAAACTATTTTGTTGCAGAAGTGGCTGATACAGTCTGAAACTGTAGAATCCTAGTCATCTGCATTAAACTATGTTGAGCAATTTGACTGATAAGAACATCTGTAGTTTTGTGTTTTCGTGCCTAGATGACGACCGCAGTTATCCTCAGGAAAAAAAACCACGACGTGAAAGTTGACATGACAATAAGTCCGAATTTAAATCTTTAGATAAATGATCAAGGGTTTGTCAGAGAGCTCACACTTAACGATATTTGTATGGAAATATTTTCACCCAATCTTATTGTTTGACGTTGCTATGCAATCAAACAAAAATTTTATGTTCTTTTTTTATTTACGAATATCGTCAAGTTGTGATACTTCTGAATTCAGTATACATTACAACTATGTATCAATATATTCAATCTGACACGAAAGTTTTCAAAATAGGTAAAAAATCTTCAAGGCATGGACTTACAAATATTCTTATATGGGGAACTTTGATCGTCAACCAAAGCTAATACATTTTAATACGACTTATGTAACTTAGCGAATAATTAAACAAGCTATAATCGCACGACAATTGGAATTGCTATGTGTTTAACGATAACTTCTATGAAATATCCCTGGCGATCAACATTTTCAAAAACAATGGAACATATTTCTACAGGTGCATTTTTGTTACACTTTTGAAAAGTTGCACTACAAATGGCGAGTGTTCGTTATGTATCGTTTATTTTGTTTTAAACAGTGACCTGGCCCTGATAGACCTGAAAATCTGACCACGACGACTGCCAGATCTCCGAACAGATAGCACTTTGTCGAGATGTTCATTATGACTTAGAGTTACGTCCCTTTTCCTAAGTGATTTTGAAGCAGACGATGGAGTTGCTGATCCGAGACTGTATCGTCTGGATTGTGGCGTCGTATTGCCATGGAAACTGAACTCTTCGTAATCAAATTCTTCCTGTGACGACATATCCTGGAAACCATCACTACTGCTATGTAAACTTTGTATATCAGAACTTCCAGCAACGTCAGAGTATCCGTTGCTACTTACGTCGTCTGACTCGATGCTCTCATAGTAACCGCTACTATCATCACCGGAGGAACTCGTGCACCGTTTCCTTGGTAACGTAAAGGTGCTAAACGGAAGTTTTGGTAAAGGTCGAGAACTGGCGTCCGAGTAACTCCTTGTGACTGGTTTTCGAATTGGTTTAGGCACTTTAAAAGGACAAGTTGCAAGTTCGTACACTGCATCGAGAGTTTCCGTACCCATCCTACTCGGTGGTTCATCATTTTCTGATGTGATGTCACAGTCAGGGTTAGCACTAGAGGAGTGCCAATCATTTGGCATGGTATAGTCATCAGAATGGGGTACTGACTCTGTGAGTGGCTCCTCGTATACATTAGTACAAGCACATGGGGCGGAGGGGTGTTTCAGAGCTGAACGACAAAGGGGGCAAACAGACATCTGTTGGGTCGTCGGTGTAACGTTTTCGTAGCCACAGGAATCGGATACGTTTTCGTATCGACTTGTTTGTGTTGGTGTAGTTACGTATATGTTTTGTTGACTGGAATTGATCCTGGGAAATCCGACAGCAAATTCTTCATACAAATCATCTTCTTTCTCTAACTCAAAGTACGGACTCGTACAAAAATCTTCATGGATGCTGTCCATTTTGGTGTATACCTTAAAACTAGGGGCAACTCCTCGGCGTTTACACCGCTTCTTTATCCAACTTAACATCTTTGATTCGAATCTGAAATAAATATCGAATGGTGAATAAGAATAATGGAATTTCAACTATTACTATCACAGCAGGCAGTGTTATTTTATGAAGGGTAGACAGACACAAATGCAGAATGGCATCAGGTTTTCGGAAGTGTTGGAAACGCCGGCCTCACTAGACATTTATTTTTAGGAAGAAGGGGTACATGCAACGATAAGGTCTTATAAGAGTCGACACCCAATTGGAATAGCAAACAACCTGATATTCCATAGGAAGTATACAAGCAAATATGCACCTACATGGATGAACGGGGAATTCCCTTTGCCTAAGGGACCTGTATTCCTTAAATAACTAACATCTTGAAAGTCATTTTTATATATTTTGTAAGAGGCTTAGTATTTCTTGAACTTGTTGCAAAACTTACCTTGAAAAGTCGAAAAAAATAATTAAAATCAATATGACAAGGTCAATATTATTTTTTTTTTCGCCGTAAAATGTGAATTTTCTCACAATATATCCTGGACTGTTTCTGTGCAAGTATAGACTAGTTAACTGTTTGACATCTGAATCTGTTATGTTGAATCCAACTCAGTTCACTATTTATGTGGGTATATTTCCAATGAACATTGATTACATTGCGTGCGTTTTAAACACGTCTGCCCAACAATTCGAATTCCCGCCGATTATGTCGCGAAAGTCACATGATACATCATCAACGCAATTGATTGGCTTAGGCTACACACTGCCGAAGTCGGGATTGTCACGGTATACTATCACTGTTGAAATTCTGGTGTGTCTAGTTAAAAGAGACTACAAGAGTAGAATGTAGATTAAGGTCAGTGTTAAGTCATGATAAGTAATCATTACATTTCAATCTCATCATTGAGTGTTTGATTTAATCTCTCCGCGAAACTGTTTATTTAACATTGCACATGGTCTGCCGGGGTGTCAAATAGCAAACATTCACGACAGACAGTCCTCGAGTAATGGTCTTTGAAATGTCCACTGTCTTGGTATGAAGAAGCTAAAACTAAATGTCTGCTGATGGTCCGTCTATTCGTATTTTTTAATTTTGAAAAAAAATCCCATCAGACCACCTTGCTGCATAAACATCCTAGAACATCATAAGACAACAAACGATGTATTACCATTGTTCAAAAAAAAAACTATTCCTTAAGCTGAGAATAGAACAATGTAGGTAGAGTAAATGGGAGTTGACAACAACAGTTGATTAAACATTGAGCACCCAGGACTGTAGCCAGATTGAATTGTTCGGAAGGGCAAGTAATATATACAAAGTCGATTGTCAGAAATATTTCAGGGGAGCTATCAATTGTTTTTTTTTTTGGGGCGGGATGGGCAGGGGGAGGGGGGGGGGGGACTTCTGCAGCAACATTGGTGCACAACCTAGAGGCATGTCTCAGTCGTTACGTTGAAGTACAACATGGGAAATCACATATCCATCCAATCAGACCCATTTTCTTTTCAATTGCATTACCCGCGTGCTATTATCGACATAGTGGAAAACGGCAGATTGCAGATTTTCAACTCGTGTGCCGACAGCCGGTGACAAAAATCGTCGACCAAGACTGTCCGTGTGCCGCACGCTTAAAGGACAAAGACAAGAGAGTGTTATAATAATTTATTATAGTTCAAAACAATGTAAAACAATTATCAAAAAATATATAACACAAAAATACATTGAGTTTAAAAAGCATTAACACACACTATAATATCACGCTTTCACAATCAGGGGTTTAGTCTTCGAAAAATATTAAGGGATCGTATACGGGTTTTGACGTGGTATTTTTTAACTATTACCAGCTATGGATACTTAATTCCTCTCACTTGTATTACCACGGCCACGAGGAAGTATGACAAATAGTGTTGTGGTTTGGACATTTTTTCGTTTCATGTTTGATTTTACATTTTCAACAATTTTAAATACAAAACGTCAATGGATCAGACTAGCAAAGGTGTAGAATATAGGATCTATCTCAAAATAAATTAATAATATTTTGAATGACCCTAAAATTCATGACTATCTATGAAGACCAGCTGACTTTAAAGGCACATAAATTCTCTGAGCTGACTGGAAAACTGATCACAGGGCTGAACCAGAGGTAAGCTGGATAATTTAGACAGCATCTCGTCTAGGAAATTTAAGAGCTGGAAGAAAAAATAAACGTCAAGTTATTACCATGGATCCAATTAAGGTTAAACAAAGTTTGAACCATTATAAACTGGGGTTGAGCGGCATACGCATAGATAATACTACGTGCAATTGCGAAAAGGCATAGAATAATATATAAGGTATATTAAAGATGGGTTCCCTTATTTTTATTTATGAAAATGAAAATGCTAATACTTGTATAAATAGAAAGTAGAGGTGTTCTAATGACTTGGAAAAATACCAGTTTGTCTCACATGTCCATAATTAATTCATAATTAGCTAAATTACAAGAGAATTACAAGCAGATTTCTAATGAGTGACCGATCAAGAAAGGTCAACAAGTTTTTTTGTGTTTATCAAGACTGTACATACTTGAGTGCTTAAAACTCTTAATTATATGCAATAAGACAAAATGATATGACAAAGAATACATGACAATTCATTAGAAACACCAATTAATCAAATAGTTTGCTTAATTTGACACTAAAGAATAAGGAAACCCATCTTTGACAGTAAAACAACTACTGATTTGTCAGTCAAAGTGTTATGCAACACCAAATTAGGCGATATCTGATGTATCAAAAGTCATGAAGATAAAAGTAAAACTTACAAATAGGAAACCGGCATCTACAAGTTTGACATCCTTTAGAATCTCGTCTGTATCGATTTAATGGACATGGTCTACATTTACGTTTTGGACATGCTGAAAAAAGAAATTATAAGCTGTAATGTGTTTGGATATCTATTGTTATACACTGTTATTGTTACACGTTTTTTGCATTTTAAAGAATAAATCACGACAACTTTTGATGCTACCGGGTCAAAATTCCAAAGAACATGATTTAGAGAAGAGTCTTGTCAGATCATGGTCGGCAAGTGGAGTAACCTACAGAAAAAACAAAGTAGATATGCAATGTATCAGATTAGTGGTTATATAAACTAGAATGAATCTTACCAGTGTTGCAACCTTTCTTGGTACACTGGCTTCGTCCATTTCGACAGAAACAAGTATTACAGTCTTTTTTATAAGTCTGACCGTGACGATAAGTTTTACCACCATATCTACATGATCCTATAAAAATGATTAGTTGAAATTTAATATTATAAAATAATGTAATAATTTCACTGTTAAAATAGTGCTCAAAACATCACTTTTAGAGAGATATAGATATACCACTGTTAAAATAGTGCACAAAACATCACTTTTAGAGAGATATAGAAATACCATTGTTAAAATAGTGCACAAAACATCACTTTTAGAGAGATAGAGAAACTCTGAGTAATAACATGTTTCAAGTTCTGTTTTAATATCTTTAATGTAATTAATTAATCGTGAAACTAAAGGGATTCCATGGAACACCTGTGGTTCTTACATTTTTAGCAAAACTGATAAAAGATGCGATACAAAGATATGGATATACTCTTTCTGACATTTATTAACTCAACATTTCACTCGCTCATACTGTATATCTTGTGCTACTTTACATAATGCCTATTTTTATATGTCTTACAAACAATATTCCCACTTACTTCCACCTCCTGGTTTACAGGCGCAAGTGTTACAGCCTCTTGAATCTTTCACATAACCATTGGGACAGGCTTTACATTTATACATTGGACATACTGAAATAAACATAAAATATACATGTATCACACAATTTTCAACCCAACCCACGAGGTAGTGATAATGGCATTGATTTGATCTTTTCCCATAAGTTCAATCTCAAAATTCAAAGAGAATAATGGAGATGAAATTTGACATGCATAAGATATACGTTATACTAGCAGTCAGTCATAAGAACCTGAACTTATCGGAAGTGCAGACGATGGACTTATCCTTTGGCCATTTACAATGCCACACAATAACATATTATGATTCTACCCAATTTAATCTCAGATTCTATCAATATAGCGGCTTGCCTTTCCCTGGGGACCGTGTTTTATTAAGTAGTCCTTGGATTGTGGGTAAAATTCAGATATAAAGGTTGCGTTTTGTGGTTTTTCTGCAGTCATCTGCAGATCAAAAAAACAAACCGAAACATCCATATCTTTAATTTAGTTATGATATCTGGTAATGTATAAGTGAGGGACCAACCTGGTTTTCTTTTACACCTACATCGTCGGCAGCCATTTCCATCTGTAGAGTAAGTTCTACCGTATTTACATGATCGACAGCTAATCAGAGAAGTAAATCGGGGACATTTACTAGCTGAAATAAGAAAAATAGATCCTAAAATTTCTGGATACACTTCACATGGTTTACACTTTTTCACTTTTCGACACACCTGACGTCATGACCCCTTTGTCACGTTTATTACACTGCGAATTCAAGTTTTACCATTCGTATGAACATTATGCTACAGATCAATCAAATCGTCTCTCTTGTCAAGCGTTCTTTGAAAAGTGATGCCGAGTTTTCAAATTCAGTCCCAAAGTGTCTTCGCGTGTTCCAGAATAATACACATTCCCTGTCCCACTAACAACATGCGTTCCTGTACCAAAATCCAATCAAAATTTTGGAGCCAATAATGACATCTATAATTAACTAGATATAGATACGAAAACCACTTACGTTTACATCTGCAAATCGGACATCCACGACTGTTTGTTACAAAACCGTTAGGGCAAAACATTCGGCAAATTGGCCCGCATCGTGTAGGAGGAAACACAGATAATTTGCTCGGTTTGACTTCAGTTGGATCGGCAGGCGGGCCGTCTGGTTTAGGAGGCGACAAAGCTGAAAAAGGAACAACCGCATGAATACACAGACTGGTTAAATAAACTATTTAAAGCAATATATGAGTCTTCACCATTATCCAAAACCAAAGTCGATCGTCACCGGTACCACACCTCAAAATTTCGCTTAGTAGTTCATAGGACCACTTGAGCGCCAGGTGAATAGGTAGAGTCTGTCCCCCAACCCTATGCTCATGATGTATGTTTTTGATATTTGTGAATAAAGTATTATTTACGAAAAGAAAAGTTGAAAATATTGAGAAAGTTTAAATATAACAGAACATACCAGAAGAATAGGACACGACTGAAAGAACACCAAGTAAAAGTACAGCAGACTTCATCTTGAAACATTAAATAGTTTAAATAATAGAATTTTCAAACACAGTTACTTATATACACTCATAGGTCTTTACCGGCAGCTGGCACTGTCAACATCCTTTTACGTCATATTTCTAATATTGCACAAAAATCAGGTCAAAGAGGAAAGATAGTTTGGATTGGTTCATCACTAAAAAGGACGGCTTTGATTGGTGAAGAAAGCGGATGTATTTGACCTAATTCTCATGAATATTAGTGAATAAACATCCATCATTTTGATATATTTGTTTACATCAGGATATGACTGAATCGTTTATTTTTTCTGGAGATTTCTCGTGTTGACATATTACAGGTATCTTTTTACTTTCCTCTTCTACGACGTCATTTTATGGTTTTACATAGTTTTTTATTTATTAATATCTGCCCTAACAAGGTCACCAGGCTTATAGTACACTAGTCCGGTGTGACTTAAATTTAGGTGGGCCACGGGACATTGGGGCTAGCTTAGTCGCTTGGCAACTAACTGGATTCGTTGTTGACGAGCACAGCACAGCTCATTAAAAAATTGAACAACCTCTAGCATCTGCGATCAAATGGATGGTAGTGGCTTCCGTTCGCTCAGGCGGACGATCAGATCAAGTTAAATAGAAGCATGGACAATTGATGTCAGCTACGATTTGTCCGTCGTCAGTGCGCGTAGGTCGAGCAAATCAACTCTGGTCTGGTTGCGCGGCTGCAAGTTTTTCGGGCAAAAATGTCATTACTATAGGCTAGAAATTCGGGTAATCTCAGATGTTTTGCACCACCACCCCACCCCCCTCACCTCGGACGTAAACCTAGCTCCGACACTGTTCTATTCTCGGCAGTCTTGGCAGTCTAATAGCCTTGAATAAGTGATCGTCGCATTATTCCAGTTGTAAATATAATATAAATGGGTACGTATAATACGGGAGAGATTTGTAATTTTGCTATCCTAGTATTTTCTTTCCTATGTCTCTATGACGTTTACATATCTATTTGCCCTTACAAGGTGACCTAGTTTATATTACACGTATTCCTTGAAAACTGATTAAGAAAAGCGGACATGTGTAAATAAAAATGAAAAATTTAAGAAAAAAAGAAAAAAAAAAACAACCCAATCATTTCATTTCAACTATAAAATTGTGAGCCAAGCCCGATTCTGATTTATCAAACGTTTTTTTATCGGAGGACGAAAAATCTTTTCTTTTTGATTGAACTCCCATCGGTGATTTTGACCTTTAAATTTTGATATTTTCGTCGATTGGTCTGTTCAGTTGGAGATCTTTGCCACTTAATTTGTTGAAACTAAAATCTTCCGAAACGCCGGTGAAAAGTTCTGCCCCACCACTTTCCTCGTTTTTCTATTTCTATAGCTATTGCACTCATAGTTTAGAATAATCCATAGCTTTGTAAATGTGCAGATGGTAAAAATTTCAAGACCACAAATATATAAAACTGTTGAAAGAACATTGTAAATAAGGCGAGATTTCTGGTTTAATTCTTTAAGCTTCAAGTCGTTGCTCCTGAGGGTTCAGGGTTCATATGTCGAGATAATACCTTCAGATTTCTAAACCCAGTTTTCCCTGCAAGTGATGCAGATCGGAGGGGCTGGCATGGCAAAAGCGACTAATCGTTAAGATGGGACAATAAACTGTGGTCCCGTGTGCTACAGGTTGTGCACGTTACAGATACCTCGACAGTTGGAAACAACAAAGAGCAGACTAATGTGGCTGTCCTGACGAGATTACCACTATTGCATGTTGCACGACTTTGACCGTTTTCATTAGCCTCTTTATAGATTCAGAAGAGTAGGATGTAAACCACATTCATTTCATTTCAGTTTTGTGAATGTAAGCTCTTGTGAAAGTAGATAACTCTAGATAAATCTTCACTTAAATCTAAAGACAAAACAGTGCCTATCCATTACTACATCGGCCAACGAACGAATCAAATCTTGCATAGCCGTCTTCGCCTCTCTTGTGGTGATAAGTACCTCAGACATATCTCCGACAACCCGGAATGCTTTTGCGGACATCAATTTGAAGATGCATATCACCATCTCCTAAAATACCCTTTATATTTAGATGCACACCGCCGCTCTATTCTTCTGCTTCAACCAAAACTTATTAATCTAAACAACCTATTATATGGAACAAATATTCAAACTGAATCTTTAGAAATATTTGATCATGTCCACTCATTTCTGTCTTTTAGTAAACGCTTCTAATTTTCCCCTAAAAGAGAACGTGTGTGGCTTCTCAAAAATACTATTATATATTACTATTTCCTTGTTCATTGTTGTACAATATGTAAAGCATATAGGTTAGTATTATGATTTATAATAATGTTAATATAATGTATATATTAACTTTCATTGTTTTTTGGAAAGGGGTTATATAGGCGTATGTCTGTTCTCCAAGCCTGTTCATATGTGTATGTGAATAAAATATTGTTTACAAAAAAAAACTCTACGGCAGTAATTACTTTGTCGCTGGGTCTCTGGATGGTTACATCCCTGGCACGTTTGTAGAGACTGCGAAGCTTATTTTGGGTTCTTGTTTTCCATTCAAACAATTTAAAAAATTAAAATATATTTTAATAAAAATAAAAAGACAACAAATTTATAAAATTGTATAGAAGTTGAAAGACCATTAAAAATTAGGCGAGATTTCTTCAAATTATCACGAGATCTGTGGTTAAATTCTTTAAGCTTCAGCTCGTGCTTTGTCGAAGGCTGGAAAGTAAAAAGAAATATTGTATTCGCAAAATAGTGTACTACTCACTAAAATGCTATATGTGGCATTGACACCGTTAACGCATAAATCTCCATTTCGTTTTCTGGCTGAAGTACTCTGCACGTAAATTATTTTGCTTCACTTACCAACAAGACAAGCTCTTAAGGTACACAAACTTCGTCCATTTCGACAGAAACAGGAGTTACAGTCCTTTTTATAACTTTCACCATTTTGATATACTCGACCACCGTCTCTACACGATCCTGTAACATAAAATTATAATTTGAACTGCCTCGCCAGTAAAATTGTCATCACATTGATTCAGTGCTTGTTCCCCAAATCTCGGAAAGCTGGCGTCCGCGAGCCCGTTTATTTGGTTCAACCAGTCCCTGTGGTTTCTGAGTTACTGTGTCTGGCCGATAACTAATGAATCCCACGTTTCTGCATATCCTGGGTTAATGAAGACTGTATTTAGTTGATACTGGATACTTAGTTTCAGGCTACAATACTTACCACCATTGCATGCTCGTTCAGTACAGAGTGTTTTACCGTTTAAACAGAAACAATTATTACAATCTTTCTTAAAACTTTGACCATTAGAATACGTTTTACCGTTGTAGGTACATGTAGCTGTAAACAGAAGAATTCAAATATAGTATAATATTAATTGATCACTTTTCCATAAGCGTCAGGACACATGCATGCCATTGAAACATCCTCTGTAAATGTTAATTTGACATCTACCTACCTACCCTCAATAAATTTTATGACTGGCCCTGAACGTGCAGATATCCAATTCGTATATCGCTTTCGAGAAACGGATAGAGCAAGATTAGTCGGTCTAATGTGGGTTTTTTCAACGTGTTGAAATAAGGCGCTTTGTAATCTAGCATAACATTTTTTGCGACATTTATAATTTAAGTCGTTCTCTTCTGACTATATTCTCTGACATCACGATTGTAGGGAAACCAAAGAGAAAATCAAGATATAGGATTTAATGACGGAAGGGGAAGGGAAAGGGAAAGGGAAGGGAAAGGGAAAGGGGAAGGGGAAGGGGTGTTAAACAATCGATCAAGGATCCTGAAAGGGGATATAGAAAGGAAATGCTTGGTAACTTCTGGGCTAATGGAAGGATGATCCGAACACTAACCCCCTGTTTTACAAGAACACAGCTTGCAGCCTCGACTATCTGTATTGTACCCATAGCTACACTTTCTAAAACATTCGAACGGTGGACAGATATCAACTGAAAATATCCAAATTCGAAATGAATATCTCTTGTCTAAGGTCGACTGATAAGCAGAGATTATTTTCTTGGAAAGGTGTCGAAAACACTTAATCTCGCAAACAATGGCTCATCTAAGATAGAGACTCGTTGAAACACTTTCATGGGCCCCAACCCCAGACAAAAAGTCCACAGGACCCCATTCTAATAGTTTAGCCATTGATAACCGTAAAGGTAAAAAATTCTATATATCGGTAGACATTTGAGAAACCTGATAAACTGGAGCATAGTTTGTACTTACTTGGTCTAGATATACATTGACATGTAGGACAGCCATTGGAATCTTTTTGGAAACCACTGGGACAGTCAATTCCTTCACATGGATTTCGTACATATACTGGACACACTGTAAAAGAAATAAAAACTTTGTGATAAACGGTTGAGATGTTACCCAATGACATTGGCCAGGAAGATGCTCTCCTACATATACGCTGGTTCAATAATCTAAAACAAGTAGATGGTCGACCGAGTAATACGTCTAGATAATAACTTCGACCTTGTATTTTCGACTCTCCAGGTCCGATGCAGGTTAAGGAGCTAACATTAAAAGTTTGGATGGACGGGACACTTTTTTAAGAGCCCAGTGTGCTATAGGTTGTACACCTTACATATCCCTCCTATAATTTTATAGCATCCCTGCTCGCAACGTGTACATCAAGAACGTTACAATATTTACAGTGTTCAGTTTGTATAGAGATAAATAAAAGCTACGAGGGGTTGACCTTTCTTTCTAAGGGTGAATCACCTACCTGGTTCTGGTGCTGGCTTACATTTACATGTACGACATCCGTCACTGCCGGTGAAATAGGTACGACCATAAGGACAGAAGAAACAGGATCTAGCTTTCAAACAGTTGTTGGCTGAAACAGAATCGATAAATATCAATGTTATATACCTGATGTCACCTGGTGATTCAGCTTGTGCTTGCAGATATATATTGTAATTGTACAGAACTATGATATTTGACTGGTTTGTGTTGGGTGGTATAGAAGATACTCTCCTACTTGCCATGGTCACAAGAAGAGAACATACTTCAATTATCAATATGAGTGATAAAGATTAAGTTAAAATGGAACTAATATGTACTTCGCTGTGTGCAAAGAGAAAATTACAACAATGTAAATTCGGAATAGACTTAAATTATAAAATGCTTACAAATAATTTTAAAAAAAAATGTTTAAAACACATAGTGCAATTGTTTCAGAGAGTAAAAAGAATAGTGTCATTTACAGTGATATTATTGACCAATCAGATTAGTTGAGGCTAGATACAAAAGTTACGATCTTTCTGAAAGCATCTCACGTTCTTGTTTGATGTTTTAACCCAATTGCAGATAATAATCAAGCAAATAATATTTATTACTTACGTTTACATCGACATGTGGGACAACCGCGACTATCCAAAACATTCCCATTAGGACACCAGATAGCACAAACTGGACCGCAGACTGGTCTGATGGGGTCAATAGGACGTGGGATTTTATCAATCAATCCTGGGAATATAGGGCCAATTATAGGTCCATCGGGGCCATCTGGTCCGATAGGGGTTAAAGCTGAAAAATGATAAACATTATCGTAAAAATCTTTAAGATAGGCGTCATCTTTAAGGAACATTAACTCTTAAAATTCTCAAACCTGTTCAATAAGAGTATGGTATATATTCATCAGTTGAACTTGCCAGGTGCCATGACTAAAGAATAGAATCTCTGGATAAAACGATACATCCATAAAATTAAATAATCATTGAAAATCGCTTCTAAGAATGTTTCAAAATTACTTATTTTAATGGATTATTACTTAGTTTTGTTGATTTATTGGATTATAGAGAGATTCTGGTGTATGGTAATGACAACAGTAAGTCCACTGATGCACAAAGACTTATTTTGGCCAAGTTTAAAACTTTTAATTTTTTGGTCATCCTTTGGTAGTATATCTTTATATATATATATATATACCGATATAGTAATAAATACCAAAATAAATCCTTATCTTTTTGAAGTTTGGTTATTCATTTATATATAGGCTACATGCATATCGTGTGGACCATAAAAACAATAACACCCATAGGGTTAGCTTTGATACGTTATACATAAAATAATCGTGTAATCGTTCCTTTCTCGGCCACCCGATATATTGGGTTAGCTTTAATATTTTTTAAAGAACACTGTGTTATTGTTTGATCTGACCACCCGATATACTATTGGTTTTTTTCTACAATTTCAGACAGGTTTCTTTTGCTTTAGGGGTAAATTGTTCACAATGTGAATTGTTGCATCATGGATTGAATAATAACATCTTTATATTTATCCTATCTTCATATCTAATACACCGCAATTAAGACATTGTCATTGCCCCCAGCAAGATAAAGTTATAACATGCGTAATTGAAATCTATAGTTTGTATGTCTGTAAAGATTTTATAGTAACGAAAATTCAAATCTTTATACACTAATTTTGGAATAAATAGTTTAGTAAACACATTAACTCAAAACAGTAAAAATGAAGTTACAATGTATATCGAGTCTAGCTGTGGCACTCAGACATTTCAATTGCTTGTGAATCTTCATTTCCCAGGTATAATCTATATGCGGCTTCTCTTTATAAAGTAATTGTCAAGAAATTTGTTTAATAATTTTTAGAATATTCTGCAGAAAATGTTTATTCAGTTAATTTTTATATAATTAAAATCGAAATATGCCATCGAAAAAAACATCTTTATCAAACATTTATAAGTCAAGTGAAAATACATACATATATTTTTAGTTATTCTATAAAAATTGAAATGTGCCTGGTTTCAAAAGAATCTAAATCCAATTTAAATCTAGAATACGTACCTTGGCAAGACACGACCAGAAGAGAGCTCACAATAAATACTGCAGACTTCATATTGGTGACAATAGAATTAAACTGATCTTAAATCGTGAAATTCATTACTTATATACCCTATAGAGATCCGCGTCGCACCTGTCAGCGAATCGACATTACGTTGTTACCTCTCACGATCTTCTCCGGCTTTAGGGTCAAATTCAGACACGCAATTTTGATTGGTTTAGAAAATAAAAGGAGTGTTTTTATTGGATGAAACAAACGGATGTTGATGACCTCTATTCTATCAAATGAACCATCTATAATCAAGATTGTTTACACTGTAAACTTGTCAACTCTCTCGAATTGCACATTACATAGATTTTGTTGATGTAATGTAATGTAAGTCATGTTTAACGTAAAAAGGTAATACGAGAATACTTCCTGATTAATTAGAAATGCAGTTTTTACGCCCCAAATGGTAAATAAAGACAAGTAACATAGTATAAAATGAAAGTAATTAGCAAACTCTAGTTTCGATTTCACCAGTTTCTGTCATTTCAAAGATAATCAAATTTAAATGCCATAGAGTAGGATTCTGTAATAATCAAATTTACAAATTTTTTTCAGTGGTCAGCATTTTTAACAGCCGGAATACAATCTAAGACTTCCAGTTCTATTTTGGAGGTCGATAATTCATCTCATACAAAAATGATGGCGATTCTGAAAACATGGTAGTCAGGGAGTAGATTTAGTACGTTGTGAATTCTATTTTCGTTATTGTCAAAAGTAAGCAGAAATAAGACCTATTTTGTAAATTAACTTTGGTACAAGTTGCGTCCCTTGTATAACGAAGTGTCATTAGAAAAGCTACGTCTGTGTTTTTGCTTCAACTGGGGGTAATCAATTGACAGTGGGTTTAGTACAGTGGTGTAACCTATTTTCGTGCATATAAGGATTCAACACCGAATTTTGTCAAAGTTAATGCGTCACCTATTTTCGTGTACAATGTTTGATCTACAAATAAGTCGAGAAAAACACGTTGTTTGGATACCGGGTGGTATAATTAACTTCTCTTAGTATTTATCTTTAATATCAATTCATTATAACTAGTGACAATTCCTTCAAAGAACCACGATTTTAAAAAGAAATAGTGACTGACAAAATAAGATATGTAGCGTGATTTATTGCTAAAAGTCACTGAAACAACATAAGAATATGGCCCACTTTGTGTTCCATAGAAATTTTCTGCTGACACGGAATTCGCTAGTTGATCACGTGACTTCATTCGTTGGACTACATTCTAGCAGACGACACTTGGAATTCCGATTACCACTTGGGATTATAAGGAAATTCGGCCGTTAAAAAATGGTGACGTTTGGTAATAACTGAAATCCGCCATTTTGTATATGTCAAAGTAAACATTAATACATTTTACCTTGCTTGAAACTACTGGATTCATTCTACTAGCTGACATTGTAGAGATAACCCATGTTTATCAAAACAAGCAAATGCGGAGGTCACGCGAGGTCGCACATGGAAATTATTAATCCTTTTCGGAAATGCACGAAAAATAGCTTAGCACGAAATTAGGTTATTTGACTGTATAAGTAGTAAAGTCTTTGGTTTTAGACTATAAGAACTAAAAGGTTAAAATGGGTGTTTGCACCGATTTACATGAATTGGTATATTTTTAGACATCCATATTATAATTTTAAAGCAGCGGTGTGACTGAATCATAGGGTAAAAAAATTGAATCAGAAATTTTTCTATTTCTATAGCTATTGCACTCATAGTTTAGAACAATCCATATATAGCTTTGTAAATGTGCAGATGTTAAAAACATCAAGACAACAAATATATAAAACTGTTGAAAGAACATTGTAAATAAGGCGAGATTTCTGGTTTTATTCTTTAAGCTTCAAGTCGTTGCTACTGAAGGTTCAGGGTTCATATGTCGAGATAATACCTTCGGATTTCTAAACCAAGTTTCCCCTGTCAGTGATGCAGGTCGGAGGGGCTGACATGGCAAAAGCGACTTATCGTTAAGATGGGACAATAAACTGTTGCCCAGTGTGCTACAAGTTGCACACGTTACAGATACCTCGAGAGTTGGAAACAATAAAGAGCAGACTAATGTGGCTGTCCTGACGAGATTACCACCATTGCATGTTGCACGACTTTGACCGTTTTCATTAGCCTCTTTATAGATTCAGAAGAGTAGGATGTAAACCACATTCATTTCATTTCAGTTTTGTAAATGTAAGCTCTTGTGAAGGTAGATAACTCTACGACAGTAATTACTTTGTCGCTGGGTCTCTGGATTGTCACATCCCCGTCACGTTTGGAGAGACTACGCAGCTCATCATGCTATTTTTTTTTCCATTAAAACAATTTAAAACATTGAAATATATTTTATTAAAAATATAAAGACAACAAATTTATAAAATAGTATAGAAGTTGAATGGCCATTACAAATTAGGCGAGATTTCTTCAAATTATCACGAGATCTGTGGTTTAATTCTTTAAGGCTGGAAAGTAAAAAGAAAATATAGTATTTACCAAGAAGAGTGTACTAGTACTACTCACTAAAATTCTATATTGATACAGTGGTTATAACGAAACAGGCCTATAATGAAAGTGGTCATGAGTTCCGAACGCAACACATAAGTCGATTTTTGACCGCTATTCTTAAACGCAACTAGTGATCGTTATGGTGTGAGAGTACCATTAGCTAAAAAACTTTCAGGAAGAAAGAGAGAATGCATGGGAGTGGGCGCCTTTGTCGTAGAATGATGTCTTAAAAATTGTCCATGATTGCAGAGCGTTTCCCGTAATCAGTACGATTGGTACGACTTAAAACTTCATATTATTTCAAAGCAGATGGCATTGACACAGTTAACGCATAAATCTCCATTTCGTTTTCTGGCTGAAGTACTCTGGACGTAAATTATTTTACTTCACTTACCAAGACAAGCTTTTGAGGTACACAAACTTCGTCCATTTCGACAGAAACAGGAGTTACAGTCCTTTTTATAACTGTCACCATTTTGATATACTCGACCCCCGTCTCTACACGATCCTGTAACATAAAATTATAATTTGACACTGTCCAAGTTACTCAGATATTTAATTCAAACTCTTTACAGACCAATATGCAACATTTCGTTTTGAAATTTCGTGTGCGTGGGTTGGGGCCTCTTCCACAGGATCGTCTCTTAAACATATGCTCTCCTGCATTTTTTCTAGGGTTGGGACCTCCTTAGAAGTAGTGACCCGTGGTTTTGATTTAACCAGTTCCTATGGTAGTTAAGTAGGTTTCTGCATTTTCTGGGTTAATGAAGACGGTATTTAGTTGATACTAGAGAAAGAGTTTCAGATTACAATACTTACCCCAGCATGCTCGTTCAGTACAGAGTGTTTTACCATTTAAACAGAAACAATTATTACAATCTTTCTTAAAACTTTGACCATTAGAATACGTTTTACCGTTGTAGGTACATGTAGCTGTAAACAGAAGAATTCAAATATAGTATAATATTAATTGATCACTTTTCCATAAGCGTCAGGACACATGCATGCCATTGAAACATCCTCTGTAAATGTTAATTTGACATCTACCTACCTACCCTCAATAAATTTTATGACTGGCCCTGAACGTGCAGATATCCAATTCGTATATCGCTTTCGAGAAACGGATAGAGCCAGATTAGTCGGTCTAATGTGGGTTTTTTCAACGTGAACAGAAGAATTAAAATATAGTAAAATATTAATTGACTTGTCCACTAACGTTAGGACACATGTATGCCAGTGAAACATCCTCTCTAAACCGACATATTTGAAAAATACCGACCGAATCACTATATTACCTATAGAAGTAAACTGTATCAACTACCAAACCAAAAACACAGAACCATCGGAATTGAACCAATCCAACTACCAACAACTACCTAGTTTGTGATATCAGCATCCGCTGGAGGCGAATGTTAATTTGACATATACCTACCTACCCTCAATAAATTGTGAAGTTTTATGACTGGCCCTGAACGTGCAGATATCCAATTCGTATATCGCTTCCTAGAAACGGATAGAGCCAGATTAATGTGGGGGTTTCAACCCGATAGTACTTTTGAAATTTGTGTTGAAATAAGGCGCTTTATAATCTAGCATAACATCTTTTGCGACATATAAGTCGTTTTCTTTTGATTATATTCTCTTTCATCACGATTGTAGGGAAAACCAAAGAGAAAATCAAGATATAGGATTTAATGGGGGAAGGGGAAGGGGTGTTAAACAATCGATCAAGGATCCTGAAAGGGGATATAGAAAGGAAATGCTTGGTAACCCCTGGGCTAATGGAAGGATGATCCGAACACTTACCCCCTGATTTACAAGAACACAGCTTGCAGCCTCGACTATCTGTATTGTACCCATAGCTACACTTTCTAAAACATTCTAACCGTGGACAGATATCAACTGAAAATATCCAAATTCGAAATAAATATTTCATGTCTAAAGTCGACTGATAAGCAGAGATTATTTTCTTGAGATGTTACCCAATGACATTTGCCAGGAAGATGCTCTCCTACATATACGCTGGTTCAATAATCTAAAACGGGTAGATGGTCGACCGAGTCATACGTCTAGATAATAACTTCGACCTTGTATTTTCGACTCTCCAGGTCCGATGCAGGTTAAGGAACTAACATTAAAAGTTTGGATGGACGGGACACTTTTTTAAGAGCCCAGTGTGCTATAGGTTGTACACCTTACATATCCCTCCTATAATTTCATAGCATACCTGCTCACAACGTGTACATCAAGAACGTTACAATATTTACAGTGTTCAGTTTGTATAGAGCTAAATACAAGCTACGAGGGGATGACCTTTCTTTCTAAGGGTGAATCACCTACCTGGTTCTGGTGCTGGCTTACATTTACATGTACGACATCCGTCACTGCCGGTGAAATAGGTACGACCATAAGGACAGAAGAAACAGGATCTAGCTTTCAAACAGTTGTTGGCTGAAACAGAATCGATAAATATCAATGTTATATACCTGATGTCACCTGGTAATTGTGCTTGCAGATATTTATTGTAATTGTACAGAACTATGATATTTGACTGGTTTGTGTTGGGCGTTATAGAAGAAGATAATCTCATATAGAAGCACTGAGCAAGGTTACAAGAAGAAAACATATTATCAATATAGGTAATAAGATTAGATTAAAATGCAACTAAAATGTATTTCGCTGTGATCAAAGAGAAAATTACAACAATATAAATTCTGAATAGACTGAAATTATACAATGCTTACAAATAGAGATAATACGAAATTTTTTTAACACATAATGCAATTGTTTCAGAGAGTAAAAAGAATGGTGTTATTAGCAGTGATATTATTGACCAATCAGATTAGTTGAGGTTAGATACGAAAGTTACGATCTTTCTGAAAGCATCTCACGTTCTTGTTTGATGTTTTAACCCAATTGCAGATAATAATCAAGCAAATAATATTTATTACTTACGTTTACATCGGCATGTATGACAACCGAGACTATCCACAACATTTCTATTACGACACCAGATATCACAACCTGAACCGCAGATGTGTCTGATGGGGTCAAAAGGACGTTGGAATTTATGAATCAGTCCTGGAACTATAGGCCCATCGTCGGGGCCACCGGGTCCAAAGGGGCCACCGGGGCCAAAGGGGCCATCGGGGCCACCGGGGCCATATGGTCCATAGGGGTCACCGGGGCCACCTGGTCCGATAGGGGTTAAAGCTGAAAAATGATAAACATTATCGTAAAAATCTTTAAGATAGACGTCATCTTTAAGGAACATTAACTCTTAAAATTCTCAAACCTGTTCAATAAGAGTATTGTATATATTCATCAGTTGAACTTGCCATGACTAAAGAATAGAATCTCTGGATAAAACGATATATCCATAAAATTAAATAATCATTGAAAATCGCTTCTAAGCATGTTTCAAAATTACTTATTTTAATGGATTATTACTTAGTTTTGTGGATTTATTGGATTATGTTTTAGCGAACACCTTTATCAAACATTTATAAGTCAAGTGAAAATACATACATATATTTTTAGTTATTCTATATAAATTGAAATGTGCCTGGTTTCAAAAGAATCTAAATCCAATTTAAATCTTAAATACGTACCTTGACAAGACACGACCAGAAGAGCGCTCACAATAAATACTGCAGACTTCATATTGGTGACAATAGAATTAAACTGATCTTAAATCGTGAAATTCATTACTTATATACCCTATAGAGATCCGAGTCGCACCTGTCAGCGAATCGACATTACGTTGTTACCTCTCACGATCTTCTCCGGCTTTAGGGTCAAATTCAGACACACAATTTTGAAATTAAAAGGAGTGCTTTTATTGAATAAAACAGGCGGATGTTGATGACCTCTATTCTATCAATTGAACCATCTATGATTAAGATTGTTTACACTGTAAACTTGTCAACTCTTTCGAATTGCACATTACATAGATTTTGTTGATGTAATGTAATGTAGGTCATGTTTAACGTAAAAAGGTAATACGAGAATCAATTAGAAATGCAGTTTTTACGCCCCAAATGGTAAATAAAGACAAGTAATATAATGTTTATTGAAGAAGCAATGAAGAGAAGTAGAAAAGATTCATATCAGCTTTATTTTCAAACACATTTCTTACACTAAAAAAACCGGAATACAAAAAAAAAACGAAAACGAAAATTTGGCATACATAAAAGTTGGAATGTGACCGTTTCAACTACGATCCCGAACAGCCGGAATACAATCTAAGACTTCCAGTTCTATTTTGGAGGTCGATATTTCATCTCATACAAAAATGATTGCGATTCTGAAAACATAGTATTCGGAGAGTAGATCTAGTACGTGCTGTATGCTTTTATTAATTCCTTCCCTCACTATAAGTAGTATTTTCTGAATTCTAATTTCGTTATTGTCAAAAGTAAGCAGAAATAAGACCTATTTTGTAAATTAACTTTGGTACAAGTTGCGTCCCTTGTTATACGAAGTGTCATTAGAAAGCTACGTCTGTGTTTTTGCTTCAACTCGGGCTCATCAATTGACAGTCTCTGGTAAGAAGAGCGGGCTGGTGTAATTCACCACATAAAGTTGAAAAGTGGGGTGTAGTTTACAGTAAAGTGTTTGTTTTACATTTTAAATAGCCAATGTAAATAGCTATATTAAAAAAAAACTGTTTTTAGAAAATGTAAATATTGCCAGTCAGTGCATTTATTTTTTTGCGAATTATTGTATTTTCTTTTGTATTTGTATATTATTATGCTATGTAAATATATTACTATGTTAATAAACATTTTCAAAGAAAAAAAAACATAGGAAGGCAGGACTCCGTTATAATTCCTGTTTGTATGAAGACGGCAAACACTACCCCTTTAAAGAATGAATCAGGAACAATATATTATGTTTTATTGCTATTAATACATATTAGATAACTTAATAAAAATATTTTATGAAAGATAACAATATATATTCTCAAGCCTCATTCATATTACGTCATCTGAAATCCGCTCGATTCATTATGGTTCAACCAAACCAACTTCAATTTCTGGTGTTAGATCTGTTCGATTCGTAGGGCATTTTACAGTAACAATTTTTCTTCTGACGTTAATGTTCTGAACATTGGATTGCGGGAAAAATTGACTTAAATCAGTTCCAATTGAAACCATGTACAAATGAAAACAAAACAATACATCGACGCATAAGTTTTGAAAAACATTTGCTTATTGGGTCGTTATATAATTCGTAGAATGAAATGGTTCAGACACTTTCTTCTGGGAATCTTATATCGAGTGAATTTCAATCGACAAATTGTATGGCATATGCTGGAAATAAAGGGAGCTAACCTCCTAACCTGATTTAATATTGTTATAAGGCACTTTTACAATCCATGTGATAGAAACATTTTAAGGGTTGTTATTATTTAATATCAAAAATATAAAACGAGTCCATATAACATATTTGACTAGTCAATTGAAAGTGCTCTGCGACGACGATGAATGCTGGCACAGCCTAAAGAAAAAATCGACTGGAGTGAAACTAATGCTTTTTTAATATATCCCCATTTTGTCAGTCGGCTTTCTCTTGAAATTTGAAATCCCTTCCAATCTCATTTAATCAATAAATTACAAATGAATTTAAATATAAAGTTAAATTAAGAAAGTAAGAAAAAATAACACGAATATCAGACTTGCTGCTGCTCGTGAAGTTCCGCCATTTGTACATGCATTATCATTGGTTGGCGTTGCCAGTGACGTCATATCTATGAAATAAAACAACATGGCGGTCTAAATGACTCGTTTTAAATTTCCCATTACCATAATTGTCCAACCAGTACACCGAGACTGTATAGGGAATTCAGAACAATGACAACGAAGACTAAACTACTGACTTGGACAACCAGTCCCTAATGAAATAAATAGAAATAAATGGAGTTTAACACCCTACTATTCCGTACCGTATTAGTCTAACGTCATGCAGTGTACAGTGGGTAAAAATGTTTATTTGGAACGGTAGTATAAGGCTACTCTTTTCGATTTCAGCTGTGACAATATATAATTTACATAATCCAATTGGTTATTGATTATCTGATTGGTAAGAGACAAGTATCACGCTTAAACGGTTAAATTAAAATTAGACCAAACTTTCGTTCCGTTTTTTATAATAGCATCATAATAATCATTTATTAATGTAGCCATTTCAGATAGGGTCTAACGACGTTCCTCTTGAACGTTTGTCAAATTAACCTTTTGACCTAATTCGATGACGTCTGCGTTAACCAATCAAATTTCTATCGTCTACAGCGCTTGTAATTAGTGGTGTTTATCAGGTTAGATCAAAAGGTTAATTTGACCAACGTTCAAGAGGGCTGTCGTTAGACCCTTACGGAAGGAGCTACACTAAAAATAAAAGCTAATTAAAAAAAACCGGAACGAACATTTTGTCTAATTTTAATTAGACTGCACGCTTTAAAAGACGTGAGTCGACTTAAAAAAATTCTACTTTCTATATTTTTAGAATCTGAAAGAATGCTCATCAAAGATGGAAACCAAATTATTCCGTGCATTTACCTAAACCATGATTCTGTCTGTGACATATTTTATAGAAACAGCTACCGCTACCCAAAAACAAACTTATTGCATCTCTGTACGTCTGTTATGTAGTGTGGGTTGCTATAGCAAACCCGGCATCACCTCCACTTTTATGATTGCGAACTACGTCTGGGGCATGCTCTTTGTTAAACGATGTATAACAAACCAGCGACATGGACCATAGGGAGCTACCATCAACACATCTCTAAGCTTTTGATACTAACTATGAAAATGTCATTTTGTACTTACCTGGTTTTAATAATGGAACTATAGACGACCAAAAATTACATTGCTGTGCTCTGAGACCAGTTTGAATATAGTCTTGTGTAGTATTATCTAATATAGCGTACTCTTGTCTGGAGTCTGTGTAAACTGGCCAGTTTGCTACCGTGGCACTATTTGGATCTCTAAAAAAATTAAAAATGCATTGATGAAACATTTCATTCTGTTAAAACCAAATGCAATTTCCGTGAGATCAATCCTTTTCATATTTATGTGAATAAATTATTGAAATAGCAATATTAAAACAGAACCTTAAAAAACATGTTGTTACTCATAGGTTCACGCTTTGCGATCTCCAGACAAGTTCAAATGTGTATTTATTTTAAGGACGAAATGTGGTCCATGCGTCCCCTTCATTTACATTGTTCACTGTCACTTACCCTGTTTTGGCGAAATTTGACCAATACGTCATAACCCTTTTACTGAAATCTACTTCCGCCGATGTGTATCCAAGTGATTCATTTAGGGGTAAACCAAACACTACTTCGACCTCGTATCCGTGAGGCACCCCCATCCATTCAGGCCAGGGTAAATTGCTCATGCGCTCTTCAAACGAATATAGATACACTTTGCTTGACTGTGCTGCTATATGAGCATATTGCATCACTGGACATTTAAACGTCTGATCACCCATAATGTCGTCCATAATATCGCGATAGTTTCTAAACTCAGACGGCGTCGATTCTGCGTAAAGGGCGATAACTGCCTTTTTGACGTTGTCATTGGCTTCAGGCAATAATGAATCAATGGCTGTCACAAATTCGGAATAATTTAAACTCCGATTGTTTACTAAGGCAAAATATTGAGGTAAACCATATATAAGCCAGTATGATCCTTCGTCTTTCACAACCCCTAATAATACATCCACCTTTTTATACTCGTCCCTCTTAAACAGAGAATCCGGATCGTCCGTCAGAAACTCGCCATCGACTACTGGGGGAAATGGGACTCCTAGAAACCCAGTCACGGAGACTGCAAACTGGTTGTCACTTAGCTCGACTGGAGATTTCGACATCAAACATTCTAACATCGCGTCCTTGTCATTCACTGGACATTTGAAAAATAAGGCAAAATCTCTCGCTCGCGATTCGGCGGTATCATTAGAGGTTAGAGTCCAATATACAGGAACAGCCGAACTCATCATGATTGATCTATTGAAGAAATCAAACGATCCTGAGCTTAACGAATGATACCCAGCACTAGCAGCCCCGGCACTCTCTCCAAATAGCGTAATTCTAGACTTATCACCACCAAATAATTCAATATTCCTAAATATCCATCTTAATGCCAATTGTTGGTCCAGAAGTCCCATGTTTCCAGGAGCAGCTTGAGTACCCATGTACAGGAAGCCCAATGGCCCAGTTCGGTAGTTAATAGACGCAACAATGACGTCTGAATGAGCAGCTAAATATTTCCCATCATACACCTCGAGTGTTGGAGTTCCGGCAAAGAATCCCCCACCAAAAATCCAGATCATGGTCGCCATGGGAGTAGTTGAATTGGAGGAATTTCCACGTGGTACCCAAATATTGAGGTATAAGCAATCTTCACTCATGTTCGTGTTTGGGTTCCACATTTCAACACCGGGTCTTCTATCAAACGACGTATCAATGAAGGTATAGCAGGAATTATGTGGCGTTTTCACATGAAGAGTTTCGTTCCATTGTTGCACATCCACTGGTCTCTTAAACCGGAGATTCCCAACAGGTGGTGTTGCAAAGGGTATTCCCAGGTACGTATCAACCTCTACATCCAAGACGGTTTGGGTGAATCCTTCAACGGTTCCATGAGTAGTGACGATCTGAGGTTGAGCTTCCACCGTCTCGTGAACGAAGCCACCAATCGTCAATATCACCACTGAGATAGCTGGACCCAGTAAAAACATGGTGACCCTGAAAAATACATTGTCATTATACAGATTATTAATTCCTCTGATTAATTGCACAAAAGATACTCACATCCTCCCAGGTGAGACTACAAATCATTCTTAATCCTATTCACGAAGAAAGCGTCGTGATGTCGTGGCTATCAAGGATATAGTAATGTGATTCCCAATTCATGAACTTCCCGTCCTTATCCTACTAACGATTTCCCCTGATACGCCGACGGCCGTAATTCAAAAATATCCCGACAATATTTGGTAGTCCCATTCTCGTGGTCGCTGCAACCCACAGGGTTATAACCACGTTGAAAGCAAAACTTTGATTTTTCTTCACATATTATATTTCCTAAATCGGTTTTCCTTTTTCTAATTTTCTTCATTTCAATATGCTATGCTTAGCAGGGGATCTTAAAGCCAGCTTAATGCGTATCATGCTTTTGGAGTTTGCAAAGAACTCAAGGCCCCTTAGCTGGTTAGCTGGTGTTGTGAGAGGATACTAGGTCTGAGAACCGTGGATGTAATGCTCAGTTCACACCAACGGCGCTTTGATCGCGCTTTAAAGCGGCGTACAAAGCGGTACCAAAGCGTAACAAAGCTCGACTAAAGCGCCAGGGTCGTAATAGATCGTTGGAAAGCTTTGAGCTTTGGGCGCTCTGTCACGAATTGATTACAGCGCCGAGAACGTATCAAAGCTGAACAAAGCGTAACAAAGTTCAGCAAAGCTTGACTCAAAGCTTAACAGAGCTTTATTCAAAGCGGGGACCCCAGTCTTCACGGTCTGTCACCACTTGATCAAAAGCGGCATGAAATCGGCCATTTCGAAAATTTCCAATGCGTAACAGAGCTTAACAATGCACAACAGAGCTTGATAATCGTATCAGAGCGTGATTTAAAGCGTCATAACCGCACCAAAGCTTAATAAAGCTTATCAAAGAGTGATTTAAAGCGTAACAAGGCCTGATCAAATCGGGAAATAATTCGTCCCCAAAGCGTAACCAATTCGTATCAGAGCTTATCAGAGCGTAACATTACTTAGGAGATCGTGATATTTTTGGACAAGTAAACAAAAAATGATGGCGCTTTGCTCGCCGATTTAAAGCGCAGCATTCGCCGTTGGTGTGAACTATGCATAATGGAATGAGGGGGCTATTAAACCAAGCTATACCTGAACCAAGTACATGTATAATACTTTTGATGATATCTCATGGTGGACCACGTTGTATCGCATTCCTCTGGTCGATTTAAGATTTTTAATGTTTTGTTTCATATAACACTGTTTTAATTGCATTATGGTTGTAACACCATCAACTACCGTCTAGTTCTAGCTTAGTATTATTACATATGGGTCTATTGATTTTCTCATTAATAATATCAGCTTTAAAGTAGCTTTATCTGGGTGTAAAACTGTATCTTTGTTGATTCAAAAGAACAAGGTCTAGTGTGTATCATACAGTATCAGAAGTATTGATTCAAGCCACAGCAACAAGTTTGTATTTTAGATTCCATGCATAGTAGTAAAGGTATTTTGAGAGTCACGTCGTTGAGTAGTATCCTAATGCCCATTTCAGACCAATAGACAAAACCAACCTTGACATAGTATAATAATGAATTGCGTTCTATATGATAAGACCATCTCAACCAATCATATGGTCTATTTTCACATATAATTACACTTTACACTTGTTCTACGCATCAATCGGCAGAACATTTACTCATGCACACATGAGTTGATTAGCTGGATATAAGTTCGATTTCCTCATATCAAAATTCAGATACACTTAATGAATAAACGGGTTAGTTGTTAACTTCGTCAGTGGTCCAATAATTGACCCTTTTACTACGGACGTCTAATGTATGATATATCTGACCTACTTATATCACAATTAGGTTTACTGTCACCGTCACATATTGTTGAAAACAAGTTTCAGACTGTTTCAGACTTCAGTTTCGGATTGTTTCATATCCTATCATATCTAGAATCCACTTCTTCTCAGAACGATTACAAATATTTGCTCTTCATTAGTTTCTTAGGACCTTCCATTGTTCAAACTTTATGACCACGTATGATATATAGTGACTTCATCAGTTGACCTATATTATACTATTGTCCTAGTTAAAATTCTACTTTCATTTTTTGACTGACAATTCACCACTTATATCGATATAGTCTGTCTTATATGCATTTTGAATTTATTATGATTCGGACAAAAAAACTGAACGCAGGTAGAAATAAAAAAGAAATAACAAAATGGAGCCAGCATTATAGCGATAAGATGTCATCGTATAAGAATTTTTTCCAGATAAACAAGATGAACACAAAATCTCTAAAAGAGATGCCAAGCAGAGTGGCAATAGGTGATGAGATACCTCGCTACAGCTCCCCGCCGTACTTTCAATAATCGAGCTCAGTTTGTTCAGGTTATATGCCTCAATAACCAACAGTTTTTATTTTCCTAATAACAGAGTTAATCCTATTGGTCATTCAATTGCTCCAAAACCATTTCACATTAATACGTGTCTCGGTCATTTCAACTAAATGGAGGCCACGGTCACCAGAAAGTAACAGGTATCCATAATCCCATAGTTGATTTCACAGAATTAACAATATACTTCTATCCAATTGAAAATTCCACTTTCATGGAAGAATTAAGGATATCCCACAACAACCAAATGTTACCTGATCCCGAAACCTGATAAAGCATTGCAGTATAAATAAACTAAGTACTAACGATCCGAACATCTGAACGAAACCCAAATCCAAACAAAATATTGGCAAAACATTAATAGCAGCTAATTAAATATCAGCAATAACCAATAAGTCTTCAATGTTATGACTAAAACTCTACTGGAATTATATAGAGTGCCTAGATCAATGATAAGAGATATATGGTATTGTAAAGATCAGTCAATATAAAGTTAATTGTCTACACAGGTAGATATTATACAGCTCGTGTCGTCCTCGGGTTATAAAAACATAGTACGTCAACCGTGGAATAGTAGTCCAGTAATCTGAACTTAATGGATTATCTCTAAAACGAATTTCATTGCAATATACATGTCTTAACTTTAACATGTGAACACTGCTTTAACATTTTGGCAGTGTCTTCTGTTGAATAGTAATTTGTTACTGTAAAATCCATAATCTCCAATACAAGTAGTTTAACTTTTAGCTTAAAGAGATTGTGATGTCACTTGAATGGTTTTGCGGAACAGGCGTCATCATTTTATTCTGGAATTTCAGCAATGAATGACGTCATAACGGAAATCAGAATGATGCAAATGGAAGCTGTAAGTGTCCTTAATACATCATCCGCCTCATGTCAAACATCGTCTTAAACATGGACTTCAATACGTGTCACAGAAGTTAGTAAATGCAGCGATTTGATTGGATATTGCTGTAGCGAATACAGTTAATCAGATGTGTCGACAGGAAGTTTGTAAACACTAAACCATTATGTTTACAGTCGTCCTGTCAAGAGCTCTGATTGGCTGTATACGCTGGAACACAATCCAATCAAATCGCTGCATTCCATCATACAAGAAAGGTGGTTTTTGAAGGATTAATACGAAGTTCGTAATAGCTTGACATTGTGGAGATTCAAAGGTTGTAAAAACTTATTTCTTGAACATTCAGAGCTGACTAATATTACCTAAGAAATCGTGACTGGGTCTGTCACATCGACAGCTCATTAGTAATTCTACTCCAAAGAAAATGAAATTTCCATGTTTATCCTAAGTACAAATAGAAATTATATCGCACAGTAACGTGACGAGCCAGATATTGTCAAGAGTTTATAAGAAATTTCCTCTTCCTTTACATGTTCTTCGGACTATATAATGATCTATTTATAGTAACACCAGCAGACGTGTAAAAACGACCCAATAGAATTGATTAAAACTTAATTCTGTTCAATAATTAATATACTTTCTTTCTTTTAAAGATGGCTTCTCGCATTTTTAAGAGTAAAACGAGCAAACTTTTTCATTATTTTTTTTTATATGAATTATCCCTGTATTCTTAATCTAAAAATTCACGTGAACGTAGAAGACTCAATAAACTCAAATCCACTTGGTGTAGGCCTACTAAATTTAAACTCCATGTTTGTTTACGTCACCAAATGACGTGAAGCTGTATTGGAATTACAGGCCGAATTTTCGTATTTAATATTATGAGTAAAATCTATTTGGAAGGGGAAGGGAAGAGAGACAAAAAAAGCGTCTAGTCTATCATACTGGACCATACACCCAGGCCTCTCGAGCTACCCTTAGTGCTGTAAGTGGTGCACGTTAGATATTCTTCACGACAGTTGAAAATTGAAAATGGTAGGCGATTTTTAGCAAAAATTACGAAGTCCTGGTCATACTTTCCCCATTGCTCACTGAATGGTGTCTTCCCTATTCGGTCATAGTAGAATATTAGGAAGTAAAACATCATTTTATGAACTTCTGAACTATTGTTTTTCTGTCCCGGTTACAGCAACCTACACGAGTCAACAATGGCTTGACGGTCAAAGTAAAGTAGAAGTGGTGCACCTTTAATAAAATAGTTTTGTTCGATTTTAACGTTGATTAAATTATTTTTTATCGATCTCTTAATTGACATTTTGAGTAACTAATTAGAGTGTATTGAATTGAACACGATGTCATAATGCGAACGGCATGGAATATAAAGGAAATGACATTAGTTTGTAAATAGGGATATTATCAGGCTAATTCTAACTAATAAAACACATTTGCGTTTCCTAACATGTAAATGATGTATAAATGCTAATGAAACAATCTTTAAAATATTTGACACAATTACTTTAATAACAATAACTACGCTGTAACGTTTCGACGATTATACTCAATCAATTACTAAATTTTTAATTTCTAAATGCCACCAAAAAAAGTTTTATACAAACAGCACGTACCTAATCGTTTATCAAAACCAAAGTAAATGCCATAGAATAGAAAACTGCAAGATAATGGAAATTTCGATATGTTGTATGGAAGTGAGAGGG